AAGATCTTGAAACTTGCATGTGTTATGAGGCTTTGTTGTCTTTTTATTTGCCTGAGGTTATTACAGGACATAGTAAATTTGCACAATGTTATTTGTTTCTTTAAAGTGATTGTACAATGTAAATGTCAAAAACTAAAAGCCAGGACAGATATTGGTCATTATTTTTGTAAATGTTCAGTTACACTGGCATTTAGAATGGAGTTTTTCATTAAAACTCTTCTAATAACAATAAACTGTAGTTTACAATTTTCGTATATTATATTGGCATACATAGATCAATATAATTCATTGCGAAGGTAGATAATGTTGTTATATGTATGTAATAGTATGGAGTATTAACCCTATTTTGCTGTACAGTATTTTATTGAATGTATCTTAAAACATTTTGCTTATTTATGTTACACAGGTTTTCCCCCCTCCATCTTTCCTCTCTCTTCGCCCCCTTGTGTGTGTATGCCAATGCTATGTATTATATTTTTTTAAAAAGAATTGTAAGGTTTTAGTAAATGCTAGGCTAAAACGTATAACTAAAAATTATTGTGGTTAATTGTTTTCCCCCATCAGCGAGCAGTTTTGACTTGCATTTTGGACAATTTTTTTGGGGGGGGGTGCTGTCATGTTAAAATTTAACTGGCTAGGTCTTAATACAGTACGTACAAAGTCCGAAATCCGGACTCGACGGGACTTCGGTTCTTCCGGATTTGGGTTTTTTCCGGATATTAAATCATCAGTTTAAATCTAGTAGATGGCATGTAGAAATTGTTAAAATTAAAAATATGAAATAATGAAGCATTTATGATATAAAGAGTATCAAAATTTTCAAAAAAAAAAAGCTTAATATTTATTTGTTTACCCTTATTAAACGTTTCTTTCAATGTAAGTTGTTTCGTTTTTTGTGCTAATACTTTCTCTTTAATTCTGTAGACAGACATAATCTCTTGTTTAGTTACATTGTTGAAGTCGTGTAACTGCTGTTTTGAGATTTCCGACTAACTTGTCAATCGAAATTTTCTTGTTCTCAGTAACTTCTCTATCACTTTCTTCGTTATCGGTATTTTCTGGATGTAGAACCATACTACAGATTTTGCCATTCATTAATTGATTAATGATTGAGAAGCATTGTTATCACAATGAAAAACTTCTTTTATATCATTTTCATTTATTACTGCTTCTACACATTTCTTTACAAAATCCGTTAATTGGAAAATTTCATCTTTGTTTACGATATCCAAATCCTTTAAAATTAGTGGCTATCATCATCAAATTTAGCTATCCTTCACTATACACATTAGGCTGTGCATCATGATCTTGGTGACTAACAAATTAAATTTTATCTTGCTTCTTTGGTGCACTGAGACAAGTAAGCCTAAACTTTATTAGTTTAGCTATTTATTATACTTATGTCCATTTCTTGCTCATGCTTAAGGCTTATCAGAGTTCTGAATAAATAAGTTCCCACATATACTTAAACCTTATTGAGGGCCGACGCTAGATATCTTGATGCAGTCTCTGTGGCTCCTAAATTCTGCGACCCCCGTGCGGCCATACGTGCCCTGGTGCTGGTTCTGGGTTTATATAAATAACAAATCGGTTATTCTTAATTCAAATAGCCCTAAATGTAATCTTTGGGTCTATGGGTATGGTCAACAAAATCTATTTTTAGCATATGGAAAGAAAGTTTTGTTAAATTGTTCCTCGTCTACATTTTTAGCGCATTTAACATAAATTTGTAATCATCGCGAAGCTTAATGTCAACATAAAAAGCTATCATACCTCTTTATTTTTCAATTCCGAACATAAATTGTTTAGGCATCGCTACATGAGTCATTACTCAAGTTGTCATAAGCATGCGGTGATGAAAGGAAAGTACAGCGTGTTTCAAAAAGAATATATGTATTTCGAATGCATGTATTTATTAAACTGTATGACATATGAAACGTTACATACATATGTACAAATTTCTCAAGTTCGGATTACAGATGTTCAGTATGTCCTCCATCAGCGACACGAACAATATCACATCGATACTCAAATTCCTCAAAAACTCGGTCAAGCACGTCCGTCGTCACTGATGTTATGACAGTACGAATCTGGTTCTTCACCTCTTCCAGTTTCTGTGGGAGTGATGGTACATAAACGTTGTCTTTAATGAAACCCCACAGAAAGAAATCACAGGGTGATCCTGTGATCGTGGACGCCAGCTGAGATGTGCTAAGTCACCAGCTCCTTGACGATCAATCCAATGGTTTGGTAGAGTTTCAATCGTTTAATCACGCACTTAAGATACACCATTGAGGAGGTACCCCGTTGTGTTGAAAAATGAAGTTGTCTTCCTGCAGCCTTGGAAACAACCAGTTTTGTAACATAGCGAGATACTGCTGACCGTTAACATCAAAGAAAAATGGGCCATAAACAGATGATCGGGATATCGCACAATACATATTGATTTTGGGCGAATCTCATACATGTTCAATGGCTGCATGTGCATTCTGTAGGCCCCAAATTCAAGCATTGTATTTGTTTACATGACCACTAACATGAAAAGTTGCTTCATCACTGAGCACAATGCATTGTGCGAAAGTGTGATCATTGTCAATACCATCAATAATCTTGTTACAAAATGCCACACATTTGCCTTTGTCATCAAGATGCAGAGCCTGTAACAAATGTAACTTGTACGGCTTCATGATCAGCTGACGTCTCAAAACACGCGAAATTATTTTTGTAGGCAGTTGTAACTCCTGACTGATATGACAAGTTGAAGGACTACTTTGGAAAGCAGTCGTTGGGAACATGAGGGCGGCCAGGACTCTTTCCTTTGCATACACATCCTGTATTTACAAACTGTCGATACCATCTGTGAATGTTCCACCCATTCGGAGGATCACTTTGGTACATCAACTTGAAACTTCTTTGTACTGTTATCACGGAATTGCACTTCGCAAACTGAAGAACACAAAATGATTTCTGCTGCGGAGTAGCCATTTTAAACATGTGATGGTTACCATGCAAAACATAAGACAACTCACATCTACTGGCTATTAATATAAACTAGACTTCCTTTCGCCAATAGCTGAGCCGAAACGCAGTGATCGATAGTTTTGACAAAATAACACTTTGGAATACGTATACAGTCAAAAGTCGTTAATCCGGACTCGTCGGGACTTCGGCGATTCCGGATTATCGATTTTTACGGATTATAAATCATCAGTTTAAATCTGGTAAGATGGCATGCAGAAATTATAAAATTAAAAATATGAAACCGTAATTTATGAAATAAAGAAGAATTATGATCTAAAGGGTATCAAAATTTACAAAAAAAAAGCTTAATATTTATTATTTACTTTATTAAACATTTCTTTCAGTGTAAGTTGTTTAAGTTGCTTCGTTTTTTATGTGATAATACATTCTCTTTAATTTTATAAACAGACATAATTTCTTGTTTACTTACAAAGTTCCGCTGTTCAAGTCCTATAATTGCTGTGTCGAGAGTACCGACTAATTTGTCAATCGAAATTTTTTCTTTTTCAATAACCTCTGTCACTTTCTTCGCTATCGGAAGCGAATTATAATGACGAGGAATTTGATTTAAATCATATCAAAGGTGGAGTACATCGAGATGAAATATTACATTTAGTAAGGAATTATAAGCCAAATAAAATAAAAACATCTGCTCTGAAGATAAGGATAGTGCTGACAGATCAACTTCCAATTCATTGCGTGCCGCTGCGTTAAAGATAAACAAAGTTTAGATAAACAAACGTTAAAGTTTAGATAAACAAAGGATATGCCTTTATCCATTTTTTGCAGCAATTCCACTTTTTGTTTAATGGACTTCGAAACATACTTTCGCTTTGTAGATCCTTTACATATTAGTAAATATATATCAGAAATTCTATTTGACTTAATCGAAAGTTCAAGCTTACTTTTTATAAAATTGCTCCCAACAGTCTGCAAAAAATAATAAACCGAATCCAATTCGAAGATTAAGGAACAACGCAATCTGCAACATTAACTGAATTAGATAATTTTAGCTTAGCTTATACCGTCCGTTATGCTTTAAACGCGCATTCGTAGACGTATTTTGCGCACGCACACACGCATATTCGCAGCGTCAAAGCAACGCATGCGCAGAAAGTTTGTAGCTTTGAGGACCGGATTATTGATCATTCCGGATTATGGGTGTCCGAATTAACGACTTTTGACTGTATTCTTTTTGAAGCATGGGTATAATAAATAATGTTTCTCCAGTTTGGCGTCAGATCAACGATGTATCTATATGGAATGCTTCGGTTTGAGATGTGTGCCAAAAAGCAGATACTCAGCAATAGAGCCAAATTACTGATCATACAAATTTATGCTAAAATGTTTGTTTCTTCAATAACAAGGTATTTTATTTAGTGTCGAAGTAAAATTAAGAATTGGGACTATCTAGATGTTTTATTACGCGTGGAGGGGAGAATCAAATGCGCATTCACAAAGCCTAGGAGAAAAATGTTGTTGGTGCTTTTGAGGTCCTGATTTTAGATCATTCAGGATAATGGATATCCGGATTTCGGACTTTGTACTGTATTTAATTATATAATGCTGCAGCCCTTGGTCTCAGGCTTAGCATATTGTTTCAATTTTACTGTATTCTAATTTTGGCAATTCAAAAAATGTGCAACATATAATGATAATTTATTTACAGTTAAAAATTAGAAATATTAGAATTATGCAGTTAAAATAATGATTAAAAATGTTACTTAATAATCTTACATTTGATACTTTTTCTTTGCTATTTTATTATTTAATTTGGAGAGATATTAATAACTAATTCATTTTCAGAACTGATGAAAAATGTGCAGTTTTTCTATTCATATATAATATACTGTTGAACATAAATGTAATTTTTTTTTTTCTTTTGCTGTTAGCATTTTGTTAAAAAGTATCTGGTTTCAATCTTCAAATCATTTTTGTATTGCACATATAAACTTACAGAGTGTTATTTTTCTTTCAAGATGTGGAGATGCTGTTCAACACTTCAAGGTTTTAAGAGACACCCAAGGAAAATTTTTTCTTTGGGTTGTCAAATTTAATTCCCTGAATGAGTTAGTCGAATATCATAGGTCAGCATCTGTGAGTCGTTCTCAGGACATAAAACTAAAAGATATGCACCCAGAAGAAGTAAGTTTATTTTAATAATAATGTAAAATTTGTATTATATGGAGAAAGTTTAGTTTTCTGTTTTTGTTACTAGATTCCTGTTTTTGCTTAGTAATCATACCTGCTATGAATGTTTTGGATTGTTTATAGGAAAAAGTATTTTTTATTTTTAAACACTTAATCTAAAAAAAATGTGGGTATTTATCCATAAAGTATGCTACTGTGAAATCGAACAATCTGGTATATCTGGATGCCTTTATTATTCTGTGCAGCATGATTGAAGGCTGCATACTCTCTTGGCTGGTGGCTAATTTATTATTATTATTTTACGAGGTGGTTAGTTATTTGAACACAGTCTTTGTAAAAAATACTTTTTTTCTTGAAGAAATAGAACAGTTGCTTGCACATCTTTTGTTAAATCATGAAATCTATTGTATTAAAAAAAAAAAAAAAAAAAAGCTTGAAAAGGCAGTTATTGTGAGCAAAGAAGTGAAATTTACAACTATTGATGCTGTAATGTCTTAAGCTATTCTATCAACCACCACGAAGTTCTGAGAAAAAGAATAGCCACCTCGAATGTTCCCTCAGGCAGAGTATTTCTTAATGAATTCCGGGAAAGGGGAAGCAGCCAGCAGTGCAAAAACAGTCTCAAGTTTTTGTTCCTCTTATAGTTGTCCGAAGGGAGACATTGTTCCTTTCCCTTTCATCAGTTTATAGGTGCATTGTCTCAGACCACCTGGTTTGAGTCCCCAGTTGGAACTGGAAGGTTCTCACGGAGTTTTTCCCAGGCCTGTCTTCGTCATATCCAGTTTTTAATTAAGGTGCTCTCGCCAATCGAGGTGCTCTGAAAAATCGCAGACAAACGAGGAACCTGAAAAAATTTCTGACACTTCCAAAACAAGTAAACAAAAACATGGAACAAAGTTCTAGAGAGAAAGAAAGCAAGTGAGAGTGAGTTGCAGTAAGTAGAGAGAGAAACCTTCTCTCGTGTTTTCCAGCTCGAGCACGAGCAAATTTTATTTCGCTTTGCGTATAGCGATATTAGTATCTCTGTGAAGAGATTTACAGCGAGGTAGCCGCGTTCACCGCTACTTTACCGGAGAGCTTCCTTCTCAGAACCAGCTCAGACCGCCAACCACCAGCCAAGAGAGTCGACTAATTCTAAACAGAACTGTGCAAGAACTATTCAAAACATCTTGATTTCCAAACAGAATCGTGGTGATCTTGAATCAATTCTAAACAGAAACCTTATCTACACTGTCGACTTGTTGATATATATATTTTCCCTGTCTCTACTGTGAGAATAATATTTTATAAGTTTATTTATTATTATTGCTATTGAATATAGCCTAGAACCCAAATAAATTTATTTATGTTACCTCTTGCCTTTCAAATTCGTCACAATGCCAAGGAAATATACCAAACAAAAAAGCAGTATGTGCTATGATTTGCAAGAAGTTGGAAATGTATTACTTAAAAGAATGAGAACATTAGAATATTAAAGTTTTAACACTTGATTGTTTTTATTAGTGACATAAACAGTAGAAACATGAAAAGTCCTTAAAAATATAAATTAATTTTTAAGATATTTAAAACAGGGTTGCCACGCTACCTGGAAAACCGGAAAATGTCAGGGAATTCGGAAATTGACCAAAAATTTCAGAGAAAAGTCGGGGAATTTGAGCGTTTTAGTCAAAATCTGGAAAAGTCAGGGAATTTCATACAACGATCCCGCCAAAAAAGGCGTGTTTTGCACCGACGTCGTAAGAGATCACTTTTTTGGCGAATTGAATATCACGTGAGTGTCATTCGGGCAGCTGGCATAGAGCCAATTTTCGCAGCTCCAATTTGATTGTCTTCTTAGAAAGGCAAAGCAAGTTTCCCGCAACTTTTGGTTTCCAGTAACCTCGAGAATCGCATGTGCAGTGCATGAACTAAAGAAAGTACCTGTTCTCGTATAAAACAAAATGGGTTTAATCCTAGTATACGATACCATGAAGGTTAGAATACAAAAATATATATTGTAAAGAAGGAAAACCTCTCTGCAACAGACGTGGCTCCGTTCCATCATAGCGAGAAACAGCTGTGCATGCGCGCGATATATCTGTCGCCAAAGCTCGAAACCGGTAACGGAAGTTCGAAAATCACGTTATCAAGAGTTCATAAAATGATTATCGTTTAAAATTTCTTTAAACTCTAAAGGAAAAGAAAATATTTTTTGGCGCAAGTAAATTAATTCATGGATTAGTTATTTTGAGGGAGCGGGGGAAGTCTACGAAAATCATTTTTTAAAATTATTGCGAAAAATCCAAGAAAAAACGTTCTTTGATAAAACGTTTCTTTTTTTGATTTTTCGCAATAATTTAAAAACAAATTTTCATAGTTTTCTTTTTTGTCAAAGAACGTTTCTTCTTAACACGTGTTTCTCAATTTCACTGTACACATCGCGGAGAGGGAAATTCTAGCCGCCAGGTTCCGTCACCAAATCCCTTGGCAAATTTTTCCTCCACTTTTTACATAGACGTTCATTGGTTAGAATAATCTCCATGTATGGTACAGCGGGATTTGGCGACATGATGATGAGCAGTAAACGGGTCATTTTGTTCTTGGCGACAATTTTCAAAATCATGCAAAGGCCATATCGTATACTAGGATTTTACCGCAAAATCTTTTTTTTTTTTTTTTCTTTTCTTTTTAATAAATACCTTGTCATTTTGCAGTAAAATAAAAAAATAATAACCAATCATCTAGGATAACCATGTAATATAACTATATTCGCTAAAATATCGTTGATTATTCTAATTAAATTTTTAAGTAATTATCTTTATTTTTATGTTATTCATATATTTTAATGTTGCTTCTTCCCTCTAAATTTATTTATCATTAGTAAATATTTTTAAATTTGAGGAAATTTTCTCTGGCATGATCCTGAAATTAATTCCAGCAGTATGATGATATCACAAAATTTAATGCACATATTTTTTCCTTATGTATGCTGCGAAATAAATATAAAATACCTCAGTTTAGTAAAAAAATATCATTAAATAGATTTCTTTCTTTCGTTTAGCTGCAGAATGTCTGCAAAAAAAAGCCTTATTTTATTCCAGATTGGGCAGATTCTAATCTCAATCTTCAGTGGAGAAAACAACTCCTATTATAATTATATTTGTGTTTTCAAGTGTTAAGGTGCCTTTTAAGAATACACCTCACACAAATTAAATTTACCTAAAATCTAACCTAACTTTTAGCATTGCGTTGTAATTTATAAGAACCGGATTAGCCTCGTGTTGAACTGGGGATGATCATGAGTAATAATTAAATAAAATGTATAGTTGTTATCCAATGTATATATCTTAAATTTTATTAAGTTTTTTAAGTGGAAAAGTAAACAAAATTATCAAACAAAGTGTACCAAGAATAATTAAGAATAAATGTCCTCTGGGATTTATTGAATAACTAAGTGAATTTGCTGCACAGTACAAGTAATACCATAATTAATTTACCTCTTAGCACAGCCAACGTACATTATATGGATAGACTGGAATTCTCTCGAAACATACCTGGAAAAGTCAGGGAATTTCATTCTCCTGTTTGAGTGGCAACCCTGTTAAAAATTCTTGAATTCATAAGTTTTTCTATTATTTCCATATTGTTGCAGCCTCAGTTTTAAATGATACCAGCATGAGTCACAAATTATGGTAGTTCTAACCAGGATAACTTATAATTTGCTCGTTACAAGAAGAGATCAGAGTGGCTTTGTATTATTGTATTTATTTTTTCATTAAAATATTAACAATTTGCTGTCACTCATGAAAAGAACAGCGAGTTGGCTTGTTAATGCATTTTCTGTTTTGAAAAAATATATTGACGATTTTTGATTCATTGATGCATAAGGAATATAATTTTCCAAGAAAAGGACAATTTACCATTTGAATATGCAAAAAGGGCTTTGAAATGAAACTATATCAACGAAATTCATCTATAGCAGTGAAAACATATAGGAATGATGTGTGAAAAAGTTATAATGGAAAGAAATGCATGTATTTTGACAAGTTTTGTGGTTACAGGACTAGCTTAAGTTCCGTAAAGAGGCAATACCACTCATGGTAAAAATCGTGGACTATGTACAAGAGGCATTGATGATTTTTCAGACCATTGACAAGCATACAAAACAGAGGAACTGGAAAAATATGTTATAATCCCTTCACTGTGAACCATAAATTTTATTTTGTTGATCCAGCAATAACTGTCCATGCACAAAATGTTAAGACTATTGGACTAAACTAATCAGCAGAATAAAAACCATTGAGGCATAACCTTGCTGTCATCTTTAATTTTATCTTGCCGAGTTCATGCAGTGAAGGTGTTAAAAAAAAGGGGGGGTTTGATTCCACATCAGTTATAATAAAAAGGACTTCTTTTCGTATGGTCCAGATGAGTGGGCATGATAGGAAGATCAACATTCATTTTTTGATTATCATTGAAACTTTTTCAGTGGCTATATCGCAGTTGGTCCTTAAATTGTGCAAGTTGAAATAAAAAAGGTTGCATAGAAAGAGATGGGTTGGTAAATTTCTCATATTTGTCATGCTGAGATGCAAATAAAGAGTGGCCTGAAATGCTTAGGAAAAGATTTATTAGTTTCGAAAGATTTTTCAGTTTTCGAGAATATGAAATACAAAAAATAATTTTGTTTTAGCCTAAATTATTAGGTGATAAGAATGCCTTTTGACTAAATTAAACAAAATATATGATAAAAATTAAACAGGTCATTACATTGAATGTCTGAGAATTGGGATTTGAAAGCGTATGTTAATACTGAAGTCATTATGAAGAGGAATGTCTGAAAATCATAAGCCTTTTAGAATTGAGAGTGCTAAATGACCATTTTTGTTATTTTAATTTATAAGAAATAAATATATTTTTGTGTGAAAAATATGGAATATTAGTTTGAAAAAATTATAAAATGTTTTACCATTAAAACTTCGAATCGAGATCTAACTTTGAAAATGAACTGAGAT